GTGTTGTCCCGTAGGGTAGCTGGGGGCGTGGAACAATCCCCCCCCAATACATAAAATCTATATTTATAAATACACTTTTACATTTTAATATATCCTACTCATAGATGAACACAGAAGTACCCTGCCTTTGCTGTATTTTGTGGAACAGTTTTTTTTAAAAGGTGAAAGTAGACCACTAAAATAAGTACTTCAGTGTCGTGTGGGCATCCGTACCGTTATAGCCAGAAAGTTAAAGCTCGAACTGGAATCTGCTCCTGCGTGTTTGTCAGCAAATCGGTGTGTCTTGTTCCAAGTGCTACTGTTGTACTGTTGTTGTACCGTATGCCAGTGCAAGTTCAGTGTCTGCACTCTTCTGCATTGAATGTAAAAGGCTATTTGAGTAGCTGATGCTGTTAAACTGATGGATTTGAAAGCTTAAAGGGATAGGTGGCTCTTAACTCTGTCAATAACAGACTTCTGGAAGGCATTTCAACTTTTGAACTCGACACTCGTGTAAAACACTGTATGGTGAATTTAAATCTAGTGATAATAGGCTTGCTTTCTTCATTACTTTTCATATAGCCCTTTAGAAGTAAGCCAGGGATAATCCCTGGGGATAATCTCCTGGGGTCTATAGGCTATAGATTGAAAACAACTGACTTAAGGTGCGAGGAAGGCAACCTTGTTAATTGGTTTTCTACAGCTTCCATCTCGAATGAGGTTTCACTGGTAGAAATCAGTGGTACGTTTGGAAATAGTAAAATTGGTGAGGATCTTGTAACCGAGTCAGGAGCAGATGCTTTTGAGACGCGAGAGTCTTGTGGATTGTGACACTAAGAACGAGGTCTTAACACTGCGGTTCAGTGGGATTCTTAAATTAGGTGCCCAAATTCTACCTGGGTTGTCTCGGAGAGGTTATCTTCGGAATCTAGAAGAATCAGTTGGTTAAGGTATCCAGTGGAAGTACTGAAATGTGTGTTGAGATGCACAAGTGACTTAAAGGTCTTCATCTAGTCCAGATCTGGGGAGTGCAGCTGAGATTCCCAAGTATTGAGCCTTCTTCCCTATGGTGGTTCAGGCTTTAGTTAGGTCAATTCTTTATTTTGAAAGGTGTTGCTAGGTTAAGGCAATACTCCTGCTTGTGATCCAGTAGGTTGGTGGCTGGCATCCTCACCAGGATGTAGGATACTCAGGTGCAAACTTCCCTTCCTAACTGGGAGAGTTTCATCATGTGCCTGGAAAATGCCTGGTCTGACAAATCACCGCCCAAAAGATCTGTTTTGGATATTGAGCTGACAGCACAACAGTGCTGTCAATTCTTGAGCAATTTTTTTGTATGCTCGTGAAGAGGCATCTGTGCATCAGTATTAAATCTTTTATTTGCTCTTTTTTTGTTTGTTTGTTTGCCACCTAGATTTGTAGTCATCAAAGATAATTTCCTATGTCTGATCTCGTACGTGAAAATTACGGTGATACAGCACAGGATGGTCCATGAGTTTCATCTGTGTTTGTTTCATGGACAAAGAATTGTCCAAGAAGTACAGGTGATGACATGATTAAGACTGAGAAACGCTGCTCTCATAATCTTTCCTGTCTTTTATAAATTATTTCAACATTCAGTGTTTCCTTTAACTGTTTTTGTGTGAAGTGTAAAGCCTAATAGTTTATCTGGAATTCTTCTTGATGGAAATGCAGGTGTTTAAACAACTCATGCTAACTTTGATTAGACAATATTGTAATGATGGCTTTCAAGCATGATCTGACTGTATGTCTAAAGCAATGTTGAGGTTATAAATGTCGTTTTTTTTTTTTTTTTTTTTTAAATAAATACAGAGTTTGCTCTCTAAAGCACAAGGAGTAGGCTCCAGCTCAGTCAAACTCCGAGGGGGCTCTCTATTTATGAATGTTGGGAAATCAGAGAAGCAGGAAGAAGATATTAGACAAACACCTCACGTGAACATCAATCCCTTCACTCCAGATTCCATGTTCCTTCACAACTCTGAAGGAAAATGTCGTAGGAGGAAGAGAACGCACTGGAATGAGTGAGTAACTTTTATCTTCCTTTGTTAAGATTATCTTTAGAACTACTTTTAGCTGCAAAAGTTTTGTTACAAATTGCTTCTAGGAAAGTATTTTTCCTTGCAAATCTGTTAGTGATGCGTAATATAGCTCTTAAAGTATCTGCTTTGAGATGCATGATATTATGAAATAACCATTTAGGACTAATCTTTTGATTAGTATACTGAGAGGATAGACTAGGCTGTCCCCTACAGTTTTTTTTACCTGACTGAATGAGCTGTGCACACAGTCTTTTCTTGAGGATGAAAAAACACATTAAACACTAGTATGAAACATGAAGAAAGAAATTACAAAGATATTAGCATGGTACCTTTATTTTATGAGTTTTTGTTTACAAATGTCTGGCATTCAATTAGTTAAACTAAGGTGGAGTGGGAGAACTAGATCTTGGAAAAATCAACAGCTGCTAGACTTCAATTTTAAGTTTACTTAAGCCATATTACTTCTGCAAAAATAACTGCTGTGATTTTCAGCTCTTGTGGAGAGGACATGGAAGCAAGTGATGGAGAGCCTGAAGATGAAACTATCAGACCTGCTAAGGTAATTAATCTTTTGAACCTGATACTAAAGTTTGGCAATTTGTGTATCTGCAGATCTAAGTATTTTCCTTCCTAATCTTTGCAGAGGATAACAATAACAGAAAGCAATATGAAGTCACGGTATGCAACTGAATTTCATGAGTTGGAGAAGATTGGATCGGGTGAATTTGGTTCTGTATTTAAATGTGTGAAGAGGCTTGATGGCTGTATTTATGCAATAAAGCGATCCAAGAAACCCTTAGCTGGCTCAGTGGATGAGTGAGTATTTCCTGCTCTTAAAAGTCACCCTTGGTGCTTTTTTCTTCCATGTCTCTTCATATTGGTGTGTAGAGAAGGCATTTCAGAAAAAAGTATAAATATACATGAATTAAATGTAAAACGGGTACAATTTTGAAGTCGCTTTACTGGGTTTTTTTTGGTTCTGAATACTGTGCAGTACAGGGGAGGAAAGGCTACTTGGCCTTTCTCCTAGTGGACATTTGTCCCAATGCATTGTGGGAACAGATGGTTCTCATCTGGAAAGTAAGAATAATGCTTACTTGCATTAATGGCAGGAGGGACTATATGAATAAATGGCAGTGATGATCCTTTGAGTTATGAAAGGAAAGCAATATTCCCAACTGGGTCCTCATCCTTGATCAACTTGAGTGACGTGCAGATTACTTAAGTCAGTTTTGGGGTATTTTTTGGCATTTGTGAATGAGCCTGCGATTCATGACTTTTTTCCCCCCACTGTTCTAATAAAACTCCAGAAGTTGGAGTTGCTCAAAATTGCATACCAGACTCTCACACAAGAAGTTAGGAATGTTGAGTTCAGTCATACTCCTGTTTTATGGTCATCATTACTTTCTTCCTAAAGCTTCAGTGATGCTTCTCAAAGCTTGCTGCTGCTGCTAGTTGAAAAGTATGTAATGGAAGTGGCACCTCCTTCAAGAATTACCTGCAACAAAACCTGTATTTTGATGTTCTGTATGCTTAGTCTTTTAATACAGTGTAAATTATCTTAGCTGTTTGGATATAAATACAAATCCACCTTCGGGTGCCACAGAACTGAACGTGAAGATTTTAATTAGAGACCTGAGCTGGCAGAGAGGCATGATATTGTAATAAGTGTTTCTATCAAGCTGAAATTGGACTAATTTCACCTCATAATATTCTTGTGTGCTGTTATTTTTTGGGACTGTAACAGGCAAAATGCTTTAAGAGAGGTCTATGCACATGCAGTTCTCGGACAGCATTCTCATGTAGTAAGATACTACTCTG